GGCAGAAAGAGAAATCACACACACGACAGGCCCTGGAGCAGTGTGGTTATCCTGACTGGGCTTTCCTGAAAGCAGACAGGAAACACAGACAGGATTCCAGTCTATCAAGGTATTTATGTATCATAAGTATTTGTGTTTTGTATAATGGAACATGTACCTTGTAAGACGATTTTAAATTTGTAATTGTGTTGTGTAACAATGAACTTATATTTGTAATATTTTTAAAGCTATTACACATACAAAACAGCAGTTACACCTCTTCAGACTGTTAAATACAAGTACACAAGTTGCACATCAAAAGCCTGTAACGTTTACAATTTTGCAACAATTGTACCAAAACAAATGTTACAAAAGTGATTTCACACTTGTGTATTACTGTCTTGCCATAAACTATTTTAATCATATTTTTCCATGTGCACAAACACAAATAAATGAATGCAACTGCACWAATGTGCTGCTGTGAATCACAGATACTGGATTACAAGTCCCACCTTATTCCTGCTCTGCTCCGCCTATTGCAACAAGTGTACCAGAGACGTGCTGCAAACCATCTATAAGGGGTTCTCTGTAAAGTAGGCGTTTCTCAAGCCTAAACAGTGACTGGCTAGTTCTGTTTGGTTCTTCTCTTCCTATCATGGTCTGTGTTTTTTATGCCCTGGTTTTTCTAAGTGTTTCAGTGTCCTGATGCATCTCGGTAATCCAGGTAGAAAAAATCAAAAAGAAAAAATCAGTAGTTCCTCTGGATGGTTCTTCTTTAGTGAAACGTTTCGTCTCTCCTCCAAGAGACTTCTTCAGTCTGATGTTTCAGGTGAACTCAGCCTTATAAGCTCCGCCTCCACCTGGACAAACAGGTTAGTCATATGTAAAAGAGGGCCATCGACTAACAATAGGCTTGATTAGTTCTATTGTTCACAGAGGGTCATGTGTCCCATCAACTGACTTATTGGTTTGGATGCTTCGGCTGTGGTTCTTCGGTGTTTTGTCATGTGTATGTAGTGAGTGCAGGCAGGGCTCAATGTCCCCTTGTTTTTTTCTCTCTTCCCCTATTTGTGTTGGGTTTTGTTGGGGCCCTGATTCACACCTTTTGCTCACAGGGGGCGGAGTCATAATTGCAATAACAACATGAAGACCCTAAACCCAGACCCAAACCAGTCGTCATTCCATATGTGGGGGGAGTTTCAGAGAAACTGAGACGTTTATTTTCTAAACATGTCGTCCCAGTGGCTTTCAAACCCCAAAACACATTACGACAAAGATTAGTTCACCCCAAAAATCTTTTTGGCTCAGACCTGTATTTCCACTTGAGTGATCAGAGCCTCTGTCTCCCAACGGCTGTCTGTTTGGCTCTGAGTCTTATCAGTGTAGGAATTACTTCATGAAATTAGGACCAGCCTAATTTTCACAAATGTAATCCAGCAAGAC